ACACATTGTCCTCAGTCAGATCCCATGCTGCGGCCGAAGGTTGCAGAGGCCAACGCTGACACAGGTTTCAACATTCGCTTTAAGTTCGCCATCAGTAGCCAACATCTTAGAGTCTTGCACTCTGGAAGAAGACTGAGGAGAGCCTGACAACCGCTTCAGGGATTCATCATGGGTCGCACCACCATCAGCAAAGTCCAACCTATTGATCTTGTAGTCCCTTTGGCGCAACTTGGGCCTCGATAGTGGTGTTAAGTGACAGCTTAGCAAAATCGGCATCCAAGGAGCTACCGCGCTCGCCACCATCGGGTGCGTAAAGCGGAAGGAGTAGCTCAGGAGAAAACCTAATTGCCATCGGGTCATCAGTGCCTGTAGAAGGGGAAGGACATCTGGCAGCCTGTCGGCGATCCAATCAAAACCGCTGATTGGGACGGCGTTGCGCCACTATCATTATCTTCGCCTAACAACTCCTCATTATAATCAGGGAAAAATAACGTGTTCTTCCGATTGTCCCAGGATACGATGAAGTTACATCGCGTATCACCGCTGTCCAGAAGTGGAAAGAGTTGGTGCTGAAGGGCAGATGACGGCTGAGGAATTGCAGAGACTGAAGGTAACGTCCGTGAAATGAGAACGTGGTCGCCGTGGCGAAAGGCGCAAATGGAGGTGACCTTGAACGAAGGCGACGGTAGCGCCTCCTGAGGTCCGACCGAAAGTTGGTGACCTTGAAAACCTCTCATTGAAACATTGAGGAGAGCGAGATCTGGAACAAGACCGACGACGGCGATGATGGGCGTCAGAACTACGCCGGGGACTCCTAGAACGCTGACGTTGTCTCGGAGACCGGGAGCGAGATCGTTTAGAACGACGGAGCACTGCGCGGCTTCCAGGCGCCAGGAACGCCACTCCAGCAATTGGCAATTGGCGCCTCCTCTCTAGAAATCGTGAGTCGGCTGAAGTCTTCCTAGGGATACGGTAATCTGATAACGGCGTCAGCGTTGGCGCTGGCTGATGCAATTGAACAGCAGCAGCAGGCCTCGGCGCTGGAACTGCACTAGGCAATGCAGATGAAGGCGCTGTCACGGCGCTGGGCAATGAAAGTGTTGGCGCTGGAACGGCGCTTTAGTTTGGGCTTCTTCAATCTGAACGCTGGCACTGGATGCAACAGGCAAGAGAAGTGGCCATATAGAAGTTTCTGCACCTCCGGGTGAGATAAGGCTTCCGCTGAGACAGATAAACTAAGGCGTCCGACGGCTGTTGAACCTCCCGCATCAGCTTACGAGTCACAGGTGTAGAATTCTTAGACTTGGACATCTGTTCTGTCATCGAAGAGCCCCCGCCTGGCGCCCGCGGGAAGAGACGCTCAGGAACCAACAGAAGAAGCAGGCGAAGACATCTTCCTTCGCGCTATGAAAAGCCGCTTTCTTCTTAGGGACGGTATAAGACTTAAAGTCGGGCGACACGGACAACGGGTGCAGAAATGACAACTAGCGAAGCTTAACAGGAGACTGTAAGCAGTCTGGGCACCAAGGGTGTGGATCCTGATTGACTTCTGCACCTTGCAGATGCAGCAAAACCGACAGGCCATGCACACAAAAAGCCATAACACACAAAAGGGAGAAACGTGAAACATACGTGATAAGGAGCAGAAAAAAAAACCCTGCAGAAAAGTGAAAACACCCCTGCAGTAAAAAATGGGCACGCCCAAACAGGCGGGACAGTAGAGAGTAAACAACCAAAATGGCTGCCCCACCGTGCCGAGAAGAGCATGAAAAAATCAAGAATTAGGAATTAATAGCACTATACGCAAAATCAAGCATGAATAGTATGGTGAAAGAGACATAGGAGTATACAATACACCAAACATGCCAAGCGAAGGGTCACTCACAACGTGGGAACACACCCCAAACACCGGAGTGAGAGACACGAGGCAGCAAGGTAGGTGAAACTTATTTTAATTCCTCTTCACCCACCATAGTAGAAGATAGGACATATAAAAACATACATACCAAATACCAATGTGAACTTTTAATAGCTGAAAGTATCAGTAAGTAGCAAGTAGCGAAACAAAAAACGTCTGACTTGCAGTACGCTTGAAGTAAAAGTGATTGTTGGATAGACCGCACTTTCGCGGGAGGGGAGATCACGTCACTTCCGTTCCTGTACACTCATCAATACATAAGGCAGCCATTCTAGTAGAATGGCGAATCAACGACTGTCTGATCTCTTTTAAGCGGAGTTTGAGGTAATATGCATAAGACCTATGGTAAGGTAAGTTAAAAATATAACGCGATGAAAACCCCCCTGCAAAATCGGAGTTCAAACGTTTCATTAAATGTACCCCTGCTTGGGGTGAAAAGTGGTTTCAACAGCTGTGCTGCGCTGCGCTGGGCTGTGCTCATAGCGCATAGGTTCACTCAGCTTTGAAGGGGGGATCTCCAGATTATAAGGTCGTGAGCAGAGTAGTCTAATCAAAACAAATAGTAAATAATCTACTTGTTACATAAAAGAACCTTGTTAGGATCTAGATCTACTCAGCTATGTGTCAACCAGTGAGGCGTTCGACATTTCAAGACGGAAAACCTTCGCTGGCGGTGTGTACTCGGTGAAGGCTTTGATGTGAGCTATGTTTCTAATGTTTTGTTGATATTTCACAGGCGCGAGCTTTTTATATGTTATGACAGTAGATTACCGATTAATTGTTTATATAATTTCATATGGCTATTTCACCACACGTTCTTCTTACCGAGTCACTTTCTCAGTTCGATACTTAAAAGCAATGTCATTATTTAGCATTGACAGAATTTCTAACTGTTATATAGATATGTCTTTGTCACAGACAAATCTCAATGTCTGTTTTATTGACACCTATGTGTCTGCCTGCCTGTCTGCTAATGACAATATGCAATACACAACTTCGATCACTGACAACATGCAATTTTAACTTAACACCTATCTGCCTATACACCATAAACAAAACGTTACACTTGAGTGCACACCCACCCGCTCTGACTGGGTTCGGTATCCCGGGTGCTTCTTTTCGAGAGAAGTAAACCCAAGTACAAAATATTGCACTTTTGGTTTGCAATTGTACACTTATAGTTTTTTAATATGTTTTTTTATATAATCAGCAATGTATATTATATGTCATGAATAAGTGATAATTGTGTTTTAATTATGTTTGATTTTTTGGTTGCATGTGACCTTTAAGTTACTTCCTCATTTGGTTCTCTTATGAACACTAAATTTGCAAACATGAAACCCCAAAAGAATACCCTTACCTCAAGGACATTGAGACAGTACATGATGACATATTCATTGCCAGTGTGGCTAATGAAAAACAAGCTGTGTCGCCATGCATCTTTTGTCTGGGCAAAATTATTCAGCAAGGACTCTGAAACAATGGTAAAACAATATTACATAAAACAAACTACGAATGATAACAGATTACATTTTTTGTATAGAATATATATAATTTTATGATTTTCAACATGTCCAAAGTGATCACAGTAAATGAAGACACATTAAGGGATACTGATATTATTTACTGCTAGATGGAACTATTGGTGGGTTTGAAATGCATTCTCAAATGCTATCATTTCAAAGAAAACATTACCAATTTCTCTTTTCCGTTCATTTGTAGTTCTGATGTCAAAAAACTCTGACATCAAAGTTTCCAAGGACCTCAAAGAGTTTTCTGTAGATGCCTGCAGCACAAAATGCACAAGTTATATTAGAAATAGCGATTATGAATTGTAAAATTGTACACATACATGTCATGCAGAAACCAGAAGTAACAGACTGAGCAATTCTGTTGGAAATATACAGTACAGTAAACAGGACTGGCAAACAAATATTACTCAGTAACAAGCATGGCGAGTAGTGTTCTTCTCATTCACAGTGCCCCAGATAATTGCTTTAGCTGATGTGAGTACAGGGACAGAATTCTGTCTTAATTGGAGTATAGCATCATTTTGTCTCAAAATCAATTCTAAATGCCAATCAAAGACTCTGTATTTTCTTTGGTCGCAAATAACTTTCACCACACTATTTCAGTGCTGTGTTGTACCTTTCTTTGTTTTCCAAGAAACCTATACCAATGTGACTATAAGGATGAAGATGACATCATCAGTGCTATTCAAACTATAAAGAAACTCATTAGTTCCATAATATAAGTATAAGTAGTACTTACAGCCTAATGATTCATAAAGTAAGAAAACAGTGCTGTTACCATGGTTAAAAGCAGATTTTGAGTATTTATCCATGAGATACTTCAGATAAATGCAATTAACATTTCGTAAGTTTTAAGATGCAACAACCATTAAAACTTGAGATGTACAACTACATGACAGGTAAACATTCTAATATGAGTGGCAAGGAAAGGAACTGAGTCCCTTTTTACATACTGTTACCATCGTTTCCATAGATATCATATGGAAAACATGTCTATCTGGTCAACTTGACCAAATCATGATGCTCATGACACAGAACAATAGAATTTCTGAGGGAAGGCTTTAATGGCAGGTACGTAGTTATGATGACTAAGATGCCCTCTCAAACCATTGTGAATAATATTCTAAGAGAAACTCACTGGCAAAGAAAATGGTAGCATAATCTTGAAAAACGGTGGTTTTGGTCTTAAAGGACTTTACAACCAATCAGAGTGAGTGAGTATGATTTCAAGCCACTTCTAGCCATATTCCAACAACATCACGGCTGGGGACACCAGAAATGGGCTTCACACATTGTACCCATGTGGGGAACCGAACCCGTGTCTTCAGCGTAACGAGCCAACACTTTGACCACTAGGCTATCCCACAGCCGCTACAACAACCAATTGCAATTATGGCTGTTTACATGGATTAGCTGGAAAAGATTTGATCCGAAGCAGAGGATGGAAGTCCTTATGTTACTAACTGTGTACATGAAATAATATGGTACAAAACAAGGTACGTCAAGTACTAATGATATTACCACAAGTTTCAAACAAGATAGAAGAGTTTGATTTGAATAAATTTCTATTTGTTAACGTCGTATCATTCAAACCATGCTGACTCAGAACAAAGCTTTATTGTGGCAATTACATGAGCCTAGGCTATTTATCAAAATTGTTGTAACAGAATGGAGCCACAGTAAGCCCATAGTACAATACCCTATATAACTGAAGATCATATTTCAGCATCTTTGATTTGAGAACATTTAAAAAAAATAATAAACTGAATACATAATGTCAGCGAGGAGAGTGATATGTTAATATTTGAAATGCTCTAGCCAATGAAGGTCATGTGCGGGTTCCCCATTTCATGGGTTTTTACTATTAGAAACTCTGAAAACATAAAAGTGACCATTACTACAATACATAAGATAAACTGTGCTAATCAAGCTGTTCACTTGCACTGACATTTGTGGCAATGTGTCCTCTCTGTCAGTGCCTGTAATGAAGGGTTCACGATCATTTGGGAACTGGAAATGCACATGGGCATTAAAGGTAAGTTGCACATATAAGCGTGTAGGATACATAACAGAAATAATAAACTGTAAAACACATGACACTGACATTGAGGTTTTGCTATGGAATATTGAACGATAGATCACCGCATCAGGGATGAAGATATTTAGCTGAAGATGATGACGCACAGGGAAGTTCAAGAACTATATTGCTGATCCCAAGATGGGAACGTATAATATACATATTCACTTCCTGAAAATAACTCTGCAGATTACGTTTTCTGACGCAGCGCATGTTCATATATGTAAAAATGTTAAGTCTGCAAAACACGACAAATCACATGTGACAGTTCGCACGGTTCAGCCCACGCACATGTTCCATTGCCTTTCCCTTATTGACTTCAACTAATATATTTTCAAATATTTCCAGGGAATAGTTACCATTATTGTCTCAAGTTGCAGGGCTTATTTACGCCTAGTACACCAATGATCTGTATTTAAATGTCCATTCACATCTTGTAAAATTCACGACACTCTCAGAACTCTGCCATTTTTGCTGAAGCATCCTGGGATATATTCATACCGTTTCAATTATCTCCCTTCGATGCTGATACCGGGTTATTGCCCTTACCATAACATTTTCCTGAAATGCCCCCAAACTGACGTATTTTAATATAATATAAAACTCCCGAGACAGATTTGTAGGGAATGACTAAAATGTCCTGGGAAACGTTAACAATGGTTCAAATTATTTATTTTTGCTAGTTTTGTCTTTGTTTGATAGATTTATCTATATTTCATCATATAATATCGACTATTTGAAATGCTCTTGAAAATAGAAATGGATTAGAGAACAGCCAACGAGCTACGTGAGTGTGAGTGAGTGAGTTTAGTTTTACGTCGCACTCAGCAATATTCCAGCTATATGGCGGCGGTTTGTAAATAATCGAGTCTGGACCAGACAATCAAGTGATCAACAGCATGAGCATCGATCTGCGCAATTGGGAACCGATGACATGTGACAACCAAGTCAGCGAGCCTGACCACCCGATCCCGTTAGTCGCCTCTTGCGACAAGCATGGGTTACTGAAGATCAATATTCTAACCTGGATCTTCACGGGTTTCCAACGAGCTACGAGGATATAAGAATTGTCTTTTTATGAGGTATGCTTGGATCCACCATACCGTATTTTCCGTACATTGAAGAAATAGGACTTAAATTGATGGCTAAAATACTAAACTAATACTGTACATTTGTTGATTATATTATATCTTGGCAACACACCACTAATTACCTGTATCGTTATGTCCGGGTAGTTTTGCATCGTGACCTGAGTAGAGTATAAGAGATTGTTTACAACGACGTTGTTTCATACAGACTGGGTAACTGTACTTTCTTCACCTATATAATGTATAGCCGAGGATATGGTGTACGCTGTTTGGTAATAGTATGAAATAAATTGGCAAATACTACGGGAAAAGAAGTGAAATTCACTTTTGCACACTGTAGCTGACAGCCGTATTAGGTTATCACTTTTGTTTATTGTCTGATATCTGAGCTCTGTGCAAGGTAATATATCTTTTGCAATTCTTTTCAGATCAGCCAGTACTTATTGTTCAGATTTTCACTAAATATACTGAGTCAAAAAAGAAACTTCACAAAATGTAACTTGAAAAATAATGAATAATTTTTTTCTGATGATACATCCATGTATCCGAAATGGGATCCCTATCTTTCGACTCTAGAAAAACGTTAGCAAAACCCACTCAAACCCATCGATTCGTCGTGCAAATGACGTTAGTGCCAAATCAGGTTTTGCACGTGCAGTCGATCACGTGATCTTCGCATCGAAATTTTCTTCATATGCACGTGTTTGCATTGTCCTCAAGAATTGAAAAAACACTTTTAAACCACAGTTCTAACGGTACTTGAAATGCCACAATTGTCAAATGTGCAATGTGAACGTGCCGTTAGCATGTTGCAAGCGGGAAGATCAGTTATTGACGTCGCAAGAGCAATGGGATGCAGCCGTCGTACTGTGTATGACTTGCGAGGTCGTCTACAACAAACTGGCACCACTTCTGATCGCCCAAGGTCGGGTCGTCCACGTGTGACGTCACGAGCAGAAGACCGTCAAATCGTCCTACGTCACCTACGTGACAGATTTCTGCCGGCTACACGAACCAGGGCTGAGATGTTTAGAGGTCGACTGTCCTCACAGACCATTCGAAATCGGTTGCGGGCTGCCTATCTCCATTCTCGACGTCCATATCGTGGGCCAATATTGACGCCGTTTCATCAACGTCAACGTCTGCTGTGGGCCCAACGTCACCTCTGATGGACCTAGAGCGACTGGAATCGAGTCGTCTTTAGCGATGAATCCAGGTTTACCCTCAGATTCGCGGACGGCAGGCATAGAGTCTGGAGACGACGTCGGTATGCCCAATGTTATGTACAGGAAGTCGACAGATTCGGGGGCGGAAGTTGCATGGTGTGGGGTGCTTTCTGTGGGAGCAACCGTTCCCGACTTCTGGTCATCCGTGGAAACCTCACAGCTGCTGCTTACCGCGACCAGGTGCTCACCCCTGAACTCGTTCCTTTCATGGCGGCTCATGGCCCAGGTCTACAGTTCCAGCATGATAATGCTCGGCTGCATACCGCGATGTTGACACGAAATTTCCTTCAAAACGCTGGAATCAACGTCATGGACTGGCCATCGAGGTCCCCTGACCTTAATCCAACAGAGCACGTTTGGGATGCACTTGGGAGAAGGCTTCGTGGTCTTAGGAACCAACCTCAGAATTTGCAGGAACTTGGCTCTGCCTTGCAAGAGCAATGGCGCAGAATCCCCAACCACGTGTTCACAAGCATCAGGCAGTCGATGAGGAGACGGTGTTTGGCAGTGGTGAATGCGCAAGGCGGCCATACACGATATTGAACTGAGAAATATCGCATTTTTATTCTTGTGACTTGACATTCTGTATACCCATGTTTTGGAACGGCAGTGTAGCCTAATGGAACTGATTATGGCACTGTCAGTGTATGGAGTACATCACACAGATCTCAGCAATGAAATAATAACAATTTAACCATCTTACCATCTTTTGTTCTTTTATAGTGCCCTGAAGAAAGAATGTGAAGTTTCTTTTTTGACTCAGTATACATCAAAATCACTGATAAATTTGATTTTCACCATGACCCATATTTGGTTTGGTTGGGATAATGGTGCGTTGCGTGTGTGTTGAGGTGAAATTGTTTTTTTACTTAAAAAAACAAGGTACAATACTATGTTTACGATATCTGTGTCTTCACAGGCAGGACGTCTTGTCTTCACACATGTCACGTGAAAGCAGGATTCCTCGAGTTCAAGACAACTGATGGTAAATAGAGTTGAGTTGGGTTGAGTAGAGTTTTACGGCGGCATTATTCCAGCCATATAGCGACGACACCAAGTCTGCATTCAGACACATGTTTAGTACAACGTCCAAATGTGCTTTTTGAAAACAGTTATATTCATTACATTACTTATCCAAACAGGATATGTCATAGCACCAAATCCAAAAACAAGCAATCCGTCATTCACATTACATAGTTACAATTCATGATATGGTTAAAAGAAACAACGCTGCAATGATAATAAATTATAAAGATAATTCGATATTGCTGAAATTATTGTTCGTTTAATCAACTACTACTCAACACCACCCTGACGCAAATCGTAGAAGCACGCCAGTGGTCTTTTGTTAAAAGGTTCTTATGTTACATATTTTAAGAGCGCTTCCAGCAGGGTTGATTTCGCACGATGAACATGTTTAATAACAGTTCGGTCCACATACCGCATCAATCATGGTTATGTAATCCCCAGCACGTGCGTGTATATTTGATTCCACGTGACCTGCTTCACGCTCCTTACTGACAGCTTGTGACGTGAAGTAGCACTTCACAAGGCGCCGCCCGGAATGTACAACATACGGTAGCACGTGACCATACACTTCTGGCTTCGTGGTTGGGATTATCACAGACTTATAAACAACATGGGAAACCATGATAGCTGAGGGGGAGCTGGTGGCTCGACATGAGGTATTTCCCGTGTACTTGAGTTGCAGGTTATAAACTTTGATCACTGCGTAAGAAGATCCTATACTGTAAAGGAATTGCATACACATGTTTACGCCGTCAACATACCACATGCGCTAATTTTCAGCAATGTTTTGGATAACAAGGCTGTTTTGTAAATTAAATGACATCAATATCTCTGGAACATTCTACCACTCGCCCTAAAAGAAATAGAATCTGCTGACGCTTTCAAAACTGCCCTCAAAACTCATCTTTTCAAACTCTCTTTTCCATAGACCAGGGAGACTATCCCTGCATAAACATTGTCTACAATCTTTTCTCTTTATAGCGCCATTGAGCAATATCTTTTGGATAATAATAATGGATACGTAGATGCAAGTGATTCCATGACATCTGAATGTTTTACGGTACCATAAACCAAATTTGAATTTTATTCAGGCCATGCTAAATTGTCCTCTGATTGGCTGATAATAGTGTGACCGGGACTTGGGTTGTATCATGGCGCTGACCGACGTCACTCACTTTGTATTGTTGTCTAACTATTTGGGTCTTAATGAAGGTGATGTGAGGTGAAATGAGGTTTAACGTCGTACCAGGGAGACTATATAACGTTGTAGATTATCCCTGGTCGTACTTAAGAAGAAATCGCTCATATGACGAGCTTTATAGTTTTATAGTGCTAGCTCACTGAGATACCATGCCGCAATGAAGCATGAATACCCCACTCAGACACATTATACTGACTCCGAGCCGACCAGTCCATGTTGTACCCATTAATGCAGAGCGCCAGGCAGGGAACAACAAGTACTATATTTTAACGTCGTTTGGTATGACGCGGCCGGGGATCGAACCCACGACCGTCCGCTCTCCGTGCGGACGCTCTAACCATTACACCATGGAGGCGGTAGTTGTTAATGAAAACATTAGCAGTCTGTGAAGTTCATGACTCGAGGGTTGACTGAATCCGTTCTTGGAGGTGTAAAACCGGCATGCGCACTTCGCTACTCGAATTTACACATAATGTACACCGGGCTTTACGTTATACACCCATAAACGCCACAGATTAAATGAAGTAAATTTTTGAATGATCTTGAAAATGCCACGAAAATATCCCTGAAAGCATTTATATATGGTTTGAAAAGTTTATGCTCTATAAGGGTAGTAAAAGTCACTTATATTGCTTTGTTGCTTCGAAATAACTTAACCGTTTATCAATGCCAAGGTTTCCTTTATGTTCCAAAGGTTGTATTCCGCTCACTGCAGTCCGCCGCAGCATGGTGGGATAAGGCAGCGGTGTATGATCCACTCACTCACTCGGGTGGCGTTAGTCTGATGTAGATGTTTCTATAAGTAGATGTTTCTATATGTAGATGTTTCTCTATGTAGTTATTATGTAGATGTTTCTATATGTAGTTATTATGTAGATGTTTCTCTATGTAGTTATGATGTAG